CTCAGTTCCCTCCTCTCTGCCAGTTCCTAGTGCTCCAAGTTGTCTTTATCTTTTTATTTATTTTTTTGGTTGGCAGTTGGGGTTAAGTGACTTGCCCAGAATCACACAGCTAGTGAGTGTTATGTGTCTGAGGCTGGATTTGAACTCAGGTCCTCCTGACTCCAGGGCTGGTGCTCTATCCACTGCGCCACCTAGCTGCCCCTGTCTTTTTTATCTTCATGGAGCCCTGATGCCTTCCTCTTGTCCAGTTCCCAATAAGTACTCTGCTCTCAAGTCCAAGTAACCCTATGCTATCTTACTGGCCATGGTCCCTGATTCCCTCCTCTATGTGAGCCTCTGGTGCTCCTAGCTGGCCTCCTCAGTAGCTGAGTGCCCCTGACCCCCTAGATCTCCCATGGCTGGACCCTCTCCACTGTACCTAGTTCTGGTGACTCTATCTGCAGCATGGAGGAGTGTGAAGCACTTTGTACACGACTGGCCATCATGGTGAATGGACGGCTCAGGTGCCTGGGCAGCATTCAGCACCTGAAGAACAGGTGAGGGGAGGCAGGGACTTAGAAAGATCTAGGAGAGGGCAAGGAGAGGTGAATGTACAAAAATGGGGATAGGGGCAGGGGGCAGGGACAGTAGCAAAGAGAGGGGTGGCACACGGGAAGGGAGAGGAACAGGGGTTTGGAGTGTGGACCAGGGGCAGGCAGAGGGACTGAAGTAGGGTTTGGGAGTAGGAAGGGTTCCAAAAACAGGAGGAGGAGCAGAGGCAAGGGCAGAGACAGTGTTGAGGGTGGGCAGTAGAAGGGAGGGTGATGGCTGGGAGGGGGTGGTCAGGGACAGGAGCCCACACCTTCATTCTGCCAGGTTTGGTGATGGCTACATGATTACGGTGAGGACCAAGAGCAGCCAGAGCGTGAAGGAGGTAGTGAGGTTCTTCAACCGAAACTTCCCTGAAGCTGTGCTCAAAGTGAGGGTCAGGGGAGCCTGGAAAAGGCCAGGAGGGCTTTGAGGTGGTTCGTGGGGGTTATGAGAGGATGAGGAGGGGATCAGGACAAAATCCTTACGGAAGAGAGTGGGAACTCTCAGGGACTTGAGGGGACTGGGGGGCATTTCTCAGGGTGCTGGGGAGCCCAGAGAGAGCCAGGGGGACTTTGAGGGAATTCACAGGGGTGATAAGGAGGTCAGAGGGCTGTGAGGAGATCAGGGGGAATCTAAGGGAGATTCAGGAAGTGAGGGAGAGCTCTTAGCTGACCTCAGGGCACCTGAAGAAAGAAGGGGGCTCCAGAGGGGTTAGGGATATCTTTTAGGAGTTGTGTAGGAGAACGGGAGAATTCCTAGCGATACTTGGAGGGAGCATGTGGGGTTGGAAAGTGCCTGGTTCAGGTGTCCTCTGGACATTAATTGAGGTGGTACTTTGGGAGCTGACCCCCTCCTTTCTTCAACCCTCAGGAGCGACACCACACCAAAGTACAGTATCAGCTAAAATCCGAGCACATCTCACTGGCACAGGTGTTCAGCAAGATGGAGCAGGTGGTGGATGTTCTGGGCATCGAGGATTACTCGGTCAGCCAGACCACACTGGACAACGTGAGTGCCACCCTTCCCCTTCCCCAACTCTTCACAGCCAGCAGCACATAGATGCCTGAAGCAGGCATTGGGGGATGAGCCACTGATACTCATTGGCCCAGCGTGTCACAGTCTGCTTTTCCCGCCCAACCCAGGTGTTTGTGAACTTTGCCAAGAAGCAGAGCGATAACTTGGAGCCCCAAGAGACAGAGCCAAGTTGTGCCCTCCAGTCCCCATTGGCTCGGCTGCTCAGTCTGCTCCGACCCCGTCCCGCACCCACAGAGCTCCGTGCTCTGGTAACAGACGAACCAGAGGACCTCGACACAGATGACGAAGGGCTTATCAGTTTTGAGGAGGAGAGGGTGAGGCTCGGGCCCTGTGGGTGGAGTTCACATTTCTGTGGGCACTCTAACCCCCAAAGAGTCTGGGGCTCAAGGGCAGAATCCAGCAGTTACTAGAGTAATGGCCTCTTGAGGCTTCTCCCTTCCCTATCTCTTCTTCTGCCGGATGTATTTGGTCTGTCCAGAGACAGAGATGGTAAGCAGCTCAGAGAGACAGAGACTCAGTGATAGAGAATGATAGAGGGGCTAAGACAGATGTTAAGTCATGGTCAGAAACAGAGGTCTTTGGACCCAAAGATCGAGGGAGACAGAGATAGAGGATGAGATTCAAATAGGTTGATTTGGTGACAATTTAACAGGAAGAAACAAAGGAAGAAGTCAAAGGGAAAGACCCAAACTCAGTTGGAAGCCTCTGACCATCTGAACCTTGTTATCTCTTCCCAACAGGCCCAGCTTTCTTTCAATACAGACACTCTCTGCTGAAGGAACTTTGGAGGCTCCAGCTCCCCATTCCTGGATGGCCAACTTTCTTTGTCCCCTTACTCAAACCCCCTTGGAGCAGCCCTACATTCCCTGGCCTGTTTTGGCTGGGGCAGAAATTCAAGGCCAGACAGTTGGGAGGGAGGCCTTAGCATTGCCTACCTGCCCAGCTCCCTCACCCAGGAGGGTTGGGAGAAGGGATTGGTGATATATTGTGCACCTTGAATTCAGTGCCTCAAACTTGGAGCTAGTTTTAGAGGGAGGTAGGGGTTGGGGAGAGCAGTGGGTGTGGACAGTGCCAAGAGCTGGGCATAAGAAGCCACCCTAGGAGCCTTGGAGAGTGGGGAAAAGGCTTGGATCTGATATCAAGGACAGTTCTTCACTCTGGTGGGCCCCAGATTTAGGGATGGGGAATCTCCCAACTACATTATAGCCCAGATACCCCCGGTCTAGAGTGAATACTACAAACCCACTCTTTCTCCTTGTCTGGCCCGGCCACTGCCCCTCCGGGACCAACCTGCCTGGTGATCCTCAGGATCTCCAACCAATGATTGTGCCAAAGGGACAGTCCTGCTGTGCCCCAGGGTGTGGGCTGGGCACTCATGTGGCTCTGCCTTCTAGTCACAGCAGCTCTGGCCAGCTACTCTGCTCATTTCCCTGGACTCTGATAGCCCTATCCCTGATCTCAGCCTGGCCTGCTTGGCTGTGCTTCTGGTCAGTGCCACTCATCTTGCCTGTGGCTCGAATCCCTACTGGCACTGAAGGCTACAAAAAGACAGGACATAAGCCTGGAGGTCAACATAAAGGCTTGAAAAACATGAAAATTGTGTGGAAGAAGAGGAGCATGGGTCTCCTCTGTGGTCTTAACCCTCCAGAACATGATCCTGATGGACCTGTCTAATACAATACTTTCCTGGCTCATCAGGCAGCTGGGTGGGGGTGGGGTGACAGGGACCTCACGGGGTCCTGGGCAGATAACTGCTTTCCCCCTAAGTTGGACTCTTCTACCCCCTGGATTTTTAACAACACCTCTGCTAATGCCGCCATTGCTGCCATGCCGCCGCCACCCAGAGACTCCAATGTTGGACACCAAATGGGCTGCCTGCCAGCCTGCCTACCCATCATGGCCCAAGTCATTGACTCTGGCCAGGGTTGAGCTGGGATGTTGGGTTTGTTTTCTTTTTAACCTATTTATTTTGCAATAGGAAGAAGCACTTGTCAGGGGTGGGGAAAATGGAGGGAAAGTGTGTACATAGATGGTCAAATGGACACATCGACAGGTTGGATACAACTGTAGGGGAAACCAAAGGAGGGGAACTTCCCCCTTCCAAGACTGAAAGCGGTGTTCCTCCATCCTTCAGCTCCTACTGCCTAGAAGGCCTCTGCACCTAGGAGCCCTGAAGGCTGTGGGCAAAGGAAGAGGGTGGAAGGACCTGGGTCCAGAGAGCTTGACCCCTGCCTCTGAATGACCTCCAATCACCTTTTGCCACAGAAGGGGTAGGACAGGGAGAGGCTTGGTATGGCATGGACAGTGGGGGGGGTCACTTCTTCCTGAGAGCAAGTTGCCATGGCTACTTCCCAGCTGTTTGTCCATCCCCTCCCTCCCCATCCCATCCCTAGTCCTGCCTGAAGGCAGGTGGGGGACTGGGCGTGTACATAGTTGGGGAAGCAGATCGGGAAAGAGGTTTGTTTTAAATAAAAAGGGAAAATATCAAATCAACCAAAGACTCTGCTGTGTGTGTGTGTGTGTGTTTGGTCCAGTGTCCACACATAGGACTGGGAGCTGGAGAAATCAGTTTCTCAGGAGGTTAAGAACACAGAGAACCCTTCTCTGTGTGGGAGGATGGACAACTGGAGATAGAGGATGGAAGTCCCAAATCCGAGGGTTGATCCAACTTCCCCTCTGTCCACCCTGTTGTGGGCATGCCAGGAATGTACCTGCCACACCTCAGAGGAGGGGCCCCACCTAGGGCAGGCCTGGCCCCTAGAAGAATGGACACCAATGGAAAGGCAGGGCTTTGGAGGGGGTGCCTGCTTGGGATGTGGGGCGGTGAGGGAAGCCTGGGTTTCCTGATACTTCCCAGCTGCCCCTTGGGTATTTGAATCCAGTTGGGGAGCAGGGAGAAGGAAGCTGAGGACTGCCCTGACTCCCTTTCTTCCATTCTCCCTCTTTCTGGCCCTAGAAATGGAATGGGGTCACCTGCTAATTACTCTCAAAGCCCTGAACCTTTTCACTTCTTGTACCTGCCACCCCTCACACACCTGAACCCCTCTTACAAGTCAGTGACACAGTCACAGTCATACGCAAACTCCCCACCTCCCAGCAATGACACCGAGTCTTGCAAGGCCCCACCCACCCAGTGTTAGAATTACAGAATTGGTCTCCTTTGTCCACTGGCTTACAGGCACTAGCCCAGGTCACCGTCCCTTACGTGCTGTTTACAGTTGCCCATTGACTCGAAGTCACACACGGAGTCCCACGGTTACGCAAATGTCGGCCCCCCCACCCCAACCCCCCGGCTCACAATTCTCCACTAAGTCCCATAGTGTCAGGCATCCACTCTTACACAGCCCCTAGCTCACTGAACTGCTCTCTTGGGCGGGGTAAGGAAGGGCGGAGCAACCCGGGAGCTTTAAAGAGCCAAAAACACAGTCTCCACCCAAGGCGGCTGCTTCTATCCTGCCGGACACCATGGCCGAGAAACCCAAACTCCAGCTGTTTGTCAAGGTGCAGGGGACCGGTCCCAGGGAGGAGAAGTGGAATGCCGGGATGGGGGCGGGGGGAGAAGGAGATCAGTACTTCTGTCTAGGGGACACTGGTGTGAGGTGAGACTGCAGGAGGGATGTCTGAACGTGGTGACTATAGTCTTCCTGTCCAGGTCCTGAAGCAGACAGAGCGGGGGCGGGGGAGGAAGGAGGGATAAAAAAGAGGGGAGGTGTTGTGGTGCTTTAAAAATAGGGAAACAAATGCTTTGAGAGAACTATAAAGGGGATGAGATGAGGAGGATATAGGTTAGGGAAGGGGATCTGGGAACAGGGGACGATGGGAACTACTTTCTTCCGGGTGCAGTCTTTGGAAGGAATGACTGAGTCTCCCCGCCTCTCACCATCTCCCTATTCCCTCGCCCCTTTTCTACCCGCACACCCTCTTTTCCTCGCCAGAGAAATCAGAGTGGACCCAGACAGGCTGTGGGGTAATGGAAGGAGAGCCTCCAGGGAGTCCACAGTCTAGTAGATAACCTTGGCCCCAGGAGTCTGGGGCTCCCGTCTCTCGCAACAGACAGGACAGACCTACAAATGACCAACTTCATATCCAGGTCACTGGTTCTCTAGCCTAGAGTTCAAAAGTAGCTTGTCCAGGACATAGGGGTTTAGCTAAAATTAAGATGGCGGATGTGAAAACTGGGAGGACTTGGGAAGCAGATGAGTTGGGGACTATTCTGCCAAAGGCAGGATTAAAACCAAATGGTATCAGCCTTTTGAAGATAGATACTTAGTCCCCATATCCATACGCCTTCTGAGAAAAAAAGAAGTGAAGATAACAGAACCCAGGAGTCTGGATCTCAGTTCTATCTACCCCTCATGAGGGGACCTTGCCCAAGACCCTGGCTTGAACTCAGGTCCAACTCTCACTGCCTGCAGGGCAGTTATCTAGCAAGATTGATTGATACTCTATATAGGGAGGAGCCTTCCTGCTGGGTACCCAGACCAAGACTGTGGCCTCTGCCAGGGGTGGGTGGGAGTATTCTAAGATAGTTGGCACAGAAGAAGATGCCACAGGAATTTGTGTCCATCCTGTACCCAAGATAAGGGAATTATGTTACAGTAGGTGATCCTAGAAGATGTCCACTATCACTTGCAGGGCCCTGGAGTGAACTTCAGGGCAGGGTAGACTTATTATCCACAACAGCGGATGCTGCCAACGTGGGAATGTAAGACACCACCTCAGAATCTGGGCCAAGCAGTCTGTGTTGGGGGCTCCTGGCCTAGGCTTTGCTCCACTGTGGGCACCAATGGGTGTGCTCTTGCCATGATGTTCCACTGGCAGTGCCCAATGCCATAAGGTGAATCATTGAAAAAACAGTTTGGTCAGGAGCTGGGCTGGGCCCCACCCTGTACGGCCAGTCTGCCTGGTGACACTGAGATGTTGCCCAGGGGCCTTCAGTTGATGGAGAAGCAGCATGTGCCCATTTCCCTGGTGCCAGTTTTGTATTCCCCCCTCCGGGGTGTGGCCCTTACCCTGGCGCCACGACAGCCCATATAGGCATAGTGCCAGGCTCTAAGTAGCACAGGCTCTGTTATTCTCCCTACCCCTTAAGGGCTCTCACCTCCCCTTGAAAGAAGCCCCACCCAGCCCTGTTGATTTTGAGAGGCTGTCCTCATCCTTGGCCCTCTTTTAAAAAATGTGGGTGAGGGGCACTGCTCAGGCCTGGGAAACACACACACACACACACACACACACACACACACACAGCCAAGGTTGGCCTGGTTTCCTCCATTCTCTCTCACCAAACTAGATACAGCTCTTGCTACTGTTTTTCTCTCCCTGAGGCTTATGTAAATTCTCTTCTGCCTCTTCCTAGGCCAGTGAAGATGGTGAGAGTGTAGGGAACTGTCCCTTCTGCCATCGTCTCTTCATGATCCTGCTACTCAAAGATGTCCCCTTTACTCTCACCACTGTGGACACCAAGAGGTAAAGATTGAATGCCTGGCTGGAACCTGGGGTGAGGAAAACTACACCCCACCTTTTCCTCCAGCATAGCCTATTTCTGCCTGAAGCTACCCGCCCTGTGCCCTGATCCCCATCATGCTTACTTTCCCTGTGCCAAAGATTTGGCCTTACCCCATTACAGGTCCTTGGATGTGCTGAAGGACTTTGCCCCTGGCTCCCAGCTGCCCATTCTGCTCTATGATGGGGAAGCCAAGACAGATACCATCCAGATTGAAGAGTTCCTGGAAGAGACACTGGGGCCACCCAAGTAAGAGCCTGAGTGGTGGGTGTGAGGGCACAGCCAGTAAGCAGGGCCAACGAGCAATGGAGCAGCGGTCAGAGAGGTTTAGAGTTGGATGGACTTAATTGATCATATAGTCTTGACCCACTTCTCTTAGAGAAGTAAACCCAGGGATCAGCAAGGAGAAGAGACTTACCCAAGATCACATAGGTGGTTAGCAGGAGAGCCTGAATTTGAATAAAGGTCCCCTGTATTCTTTACTTTACAGTGTGCTACTTTCTACTCTGCCCCACTGCTAGTTTCCTCATATCTACTCTCAGGGAAGGATCTGATCTTCTTGTTCCAAGGCAGGTTCTTTACTGAGGACAGCATTGAGTCACCCTGTACTCATGCCAGTGGGGTCTTGTCCTTTAGTAAGGGGCAAAGCCTTTAGTCAAGGAAGATAGCTTGATTCCCCTTGAGGAATCCCAAGGGGGGAGTCATAGGCATTGGCAATAGATGAGAGAGGAATGTTTTGGAGAGGTGAAGGGAAGATTTTCCATGCTTCCCCATGTCTGAATGGGAAATCTAAATAGTAAAATGGAAATTGCATGTTGGATGACCCCAAGCAGGACCAGGGAGCTAGGGGCAATTCTTACCCTCTTCAGGAATTTGTTTTCTCTAGTTTTCTTCCGTGGCTAAAGGGAAGGGCAGGGTAAGGGAATAAGAATTTATATAGCACCTACTATCTGCCAGGCATCATACTAAGTGCTTTACAAATAACTTAGGCAGCATAAAGGGAGGGGAGTGTGTCTGAGATTTGATAACAGGGGATGCTGATGGGAGAAAGGGAGAGAGAACCACCCTCCAACCAGGTGAGAGTGCCCACGACCCCAGGCCCCCAACCATGGCTCTCCCATTTGTCTCCTGACCCTGTCTTCATCCTTCAGCTTCCCCAGCCTGGTTCCTCAATATAAGGAATCTAACATAGCCGGTAATGATGTCTTCCACAAATTCTCAGCTTTCATCAAAAACACTTCTCCTGCTCGGGATGAAGGTGAGTCTTCAGGCTGGGCAGGCTGTGTCCTGGGGTAGGATAGGCTGCGCCCAGGTGGGTCAGGATGTGTCCTGGGGGAAGGGAGTGTAAGAGTGAGTCCATTGAATTCATTCCACCAACATTTAAGTGCCTGCTACTTGTCACTGCCTTTGCCAACTGATAGTGTAAGTACAAGGATATAAGACCTACTACTATGTAATAAATATATTAAAGAGGTGCAGGACAGAGCTCTATGAGACCCTGGGGGGAGCTTGTTATTAACTCAGGAGTATCAGGAAAGGTTTCTTCATGGAGGAAGTAGCATTTGAGCTGGGCTTGAAGGATAGATGGGATGTCTGATGAGGAAGGAAGGGAATCCATCCATAAAGAACACTGAGAAAAGGCAGAGGTGGGAGGGCATGTCAGGCTTTGATGAGGCAGCATAGAACCCTTTGTCTAGAGCAGGTGTGGAGGTGAGGAATGAATTAAGACAGAAAGATAGGGGCTCTGCCAGGTTTTGGAAGGCCTTGAATGCCAGAGAGAAGAGAATGATCTTTAATCGGGATGCAATATAGATCCACTGACGATTTCTGAGCAGAGTGGTTACATGACCAGATGTATGTTTGGTTCTAGCAGTACTGATGGGGGTGGGGTGTGAGGTGGAGAAGACAATAATGGAGACTATTGCAATAGTCCAGATGGGTGGTAATGAGGTTGAATGGGGAGCTTATGTCCCAAGTTTCCCCCACCCACCTCCACCCCCACTCCCAATCCCTTGCTTGCTGCTCCAGCCTTGTATCGACCCCTGCTTCGTGCCCTGGTGAAACTGGATCTATATCTGACCACACCCCTTGGAGCATGAGCTGACCCAGGACCCGAAGCTCACTAAGTCCAAGCGTCGCTTCTTAGATGGCGACGAGCTCACCTTGGCGGATTGCAAGCTCCTGCCCAAGCTACACATTGTCAATGTGAGGGGGGGGCCGGGGGAGGAAGGGATGGGGAGGTTTGAAAGACTGCGGGGGAGGGGAGGCAAGAATAGAAGGGTTGGGTTGGAACCATTGCAAAGCCTTGGGAGGGTGTTTAGGTTCTCTGCCCACTGGGCGGACTGTGTCAATGACTACCCTCCTCCACCTACTGCAGACCGTGTGCACCCATTATCGACAGACACCCATCCCTGTTGAGCTCCGTGGGCTCCACCGATACCTGGAAAATGCTCTGCAGATGAAGGAGTTCAAGTACACCTGTCCACAAAGCTCTGAGATCCTGGCTGCCTATGCATCCGTGGCTCGGGCTCGAGCTCGCTGACCACTCAGAATCCATCCGATTTGGCTCTCCCCTACTGTTCCACTGCGCCTCCCCTACACCACCCTCAGGCACACGGACTCGCTCGTTCATCACCCCTCTGCGAGCACTCAGCGTACACCCCCTCCACTATTTCATGCTTTTCTTCTAAATCCCGTTGAAGTCACCGCTTCTAGGATTTCCTCCCTGATTGCTCCTCGAGGACTGACCTTCCTCACTTCGGCACTCCTGTGATGGTTTAGACTGTTAATTTGCTTCAAAGGGGTGTCCATAAACATACTCTTTGGTCTCATCTATGCCCAGGTGTGACTCATTTTCCTGAGGGCCAGGGATGTGAACCCCTCCCAGTTCCCTGACCACAGCCTCCACCCTCATCTCTTACTTGACCCCAAATCTGGCCCCCATCATCTTTGGGCCATTCCTCTCCACTCACAGTGACCTCTGATCCTACCTTCCACTCTGGCCCTCCCCGTGACACCTCAGGATGGCGCATACCAAATACCTGTTATCCTAAGACTAACATCAGATTTGACACCAAGCCACCAGGGTGGGACTTATACAGGCTCCCTCCCATACACAGGGGGAAATGAAAGCTCAGCCCCTTTGTAGCCATGCCCAGGGACTCAACTGCTCCTCAAACCAGTTGGGCAGGAGTGAGAACAGCAGGAAAGGTCTAGATAGGCAAGGTGAGAGGGCAGGGCTGGAGGCCACCTCCCTGAGCTGGGTGGGGAGAAGAGTAAGGTTGTGAATGTTTCCAGCCAGCTTGACCACATTCCCTGGCTCCTTTCTCCCAATCCCATCAGTTAAACCAACTTCTGCCTCCTAATCACCAACCCACCCTTTGCCTTTCCAGCCTGCCCCCCTCCCCCCATCCCTGCTTCCAGCATTTCTGGGGCTCTGGGAAGTACCTACTTGGGTACATCTGTATTCCTGTATTGACTGTGTGTCAGGCAATGTGCTATTAGATTTATAATCAGAAGAGTTAGGTTCAAATTCTGCCTCAGACACTTAATTGCTCTGTGTGTGTGACTCTGGTTCTGTCACTGCTACTAAAATCAGAGCACAGGTTCAAATCCTGGCTCCGACATTTGATAGTTTTATGTCTCTTCAAAGGCTCTTTGAGCCTTGGTTTCCCCTCTGTAAAATAAGGATAATACTTCCACAACTTACAAAACTGGGTTATTGTGAGGAAAGCATATTGTAACCTTAAAGCAATATAGAAATTCGAGCCGTTACTGTAAATGCAAATTGTTTCTGTCAACATGTTTGTGTATCTGAAACTACAGACTATACAATATTTGTGACTACCTATATACATATCTTTGTACATCTATATATCTGTGTGAATATGTGTCTATATGGCTATCCATCCATATGTGTCTGTGTATGTAGCACATCTGCTTGGTGGCTAAAATCCTTTCCTGATTTGGGGAAATGTGGGGCCACCTTTGCAGACTTTTTAACCTCCAGTGCAAAGATCCTATCTGTCTATGAGATCCAGGCCAAGGTGAGACAGCTTAGGTAGGGGCAAAGAAGGGAAGGAGCTTTTATTAAACCTATGCTTAACTATGTGCCAGGCACCATGCTAAGTGCTTTATGAATATTATCTCACTTGATATTTGTAATAGGGCAAACATTGTACCTGATCCCAGGGTGTGAGACCCTCATGGGTGATTCACCCCGGTCAAGCTAGGTCTGCCCCACCTTTCAACCCACCCCTGAAACCTGTAGGGAGAGAGAGGGAGCCGCCTTCACAAAGTAGTTTGGCCTGGTTGGAGGTTTGAGCTGACACAATCTGTTTACGTATTTCGGCCCCCACCCCCAGAGCAACCCTGTACCAGGGAACCAGCCTTCTCCCTAAGTTGGGGGGGGGGAGGTGGTCTAAGGATCTCCCAGGCCACTCCCTAGACTGAGATAAGTCTAAGGAAAGTCTGAGTGTTACACATACTAGACAATAAATATTTGTGGATTTATTTTGCTTTGCGAAATAGAGAGCATCTCTGGAGCCAGCTGTCACAGACTCGATGAATCACTCACTCCTCTGGACAGGGCCAACTTAGCTCTTCCTCTTTCTGCTTCAGGCTGAGCTCAGGCCCATCAGCTTCCTTAGAGCCCTGTAACTCCTCAAATCCTCATTCCCCAGGAGGCAGGAGACTCATGCAGGAGTTACTATGTCAGGTATCATCGAAGTTCACTCCACTGGCTGGCTTCTTACTGCAAGGACATGAAGATGTCAGAGACAATGAGGAAGCTCTGTCTGGGTTAAGGGAGGGGGAGGGGAAGGTCCCTTACCCATGGAAAGGAAGAAGAGGACCTGAAATCTATGCTGGGGAGATAGGAAGAAGAGGGGCAGACAGGTGGTACCTCTTGAAGCCAGGATTGATGATCGATTCTCCTGGCATCCATTTCCTGATCACGGGGCCTGGACCACCTCTTCCAGAATCTGGATCTAGAGTTTTTTGCAAAAAGTCCACCTAAGCTGGCTCATTCCCCTGTCCCCATCACCACAAGTGGTCACATCCTTCAGTCCCCCTTCCACATGCAAGATGGATTCCCTGAGGGAATCATCTACCCCACATGAGACTTCCTGATATGGGGTAAGATAAAGGCACAAGGCTGGATGTCAGTCAGCCTCTTTATCAAATAAGGCCAGAGAGGGTCAGAAACATGCCTGGGGGACACAGCAAGTCAGTTTGTTGTATGGGAGCTCTGCCCATATTCTTTACCCTTCTTCCTCTCAGGCTGTTTCCTACCTGGCAAAAACAGCTGCTGCCTGCGTGGCTGGGGTTTCTTTCTGGGGCTGGGAGTCTCGTCCTTCAAAGCTGAGAAAAGAAATAAGTGCTAGGTTGGGCTCACACAGGGACTTTTACTTCATGTTCTAGCTTTTGCTGCCATCACTCATTCCAGGCATGTCTGGAGTACAGGCGATATCCTCAGATGAGTCACAGAATCAGAATCTAAGCTGTTAGGGACTCCGGTGGTTATCTTGTCCAGCTAGTTCTTGAACGGGTAGCTTCTCTACAATATTCCTGAGCAGTGCCTAGTCAGTCTCTACCTCTTAGAACTTCCAGTGATAGGGAACCCACTATCTCCCGAGGCATCCCACTCCACTTTGGAATAATTCTAACTGCAGGAAATTTCCCCTTCCATGAAGTTTAAATCCTTACCCATTGCTTCTCATTTTGACCTCTAGGGTTAACAAGTCAAACAAACTCTCACTCATGACAACTCTATAAATACTTGGGGCAGCAAGGCCCAGGGCTAATGCTAACACCTGGCTAGAGTTGTGCCCAAGCCCTGTGCCTTTCCTAGGAGAGGGCACCAGAGACCCAATGTTTGGTGACTGACTGCCAGGGACATCAGGGTCTGCTGTACCTGCCAGCTGCCTCTTCAATCTGCATACTTGCTCTGCCAACCCCAGCATCAGTGCCTGGAGTCGCGGGGCTGCTTCTGGGCTGGGCACCTTAGAAAGGTTAAAAGTCAGGGTTTCTGCTTCCCTGGAGATAGTCAGGTGAGCGCTGCTGTCATCCTTCAAGGTCAAAGATACCGCATGCTGGTCACAGGCAACCCTGTGGATTGGCAGGGGGAGGGGTTCAATGCTGTTTCTTGGGCAACCAGGACCCGGCTTTATCTCCCCAAGGAATCTCACCTGAACCAAGCTGAATAGTCCTCAGCACCATCCAGACCATGCTGGGCTTTCTGTGGGATAAGATAAAGCCTGATAAACCACATCTAGGGACTCTTCCAACCCACTGCTTAAACCTTTCAAAGAGTGGGGGTAGGGGTGTGGAGTGGAGACGTAGAGGTCGGACACCCAGTTTGGTGTGGCATTGGGGATGTGCAAGATGAAGATGGAGAGGTCGCAAACCCGACATGGTAGCATCGGGGTGGGGGTGTGCAGAATGGAGACCGGAGTTAAGCACCCAGTTTGGTGTGGAATCAGAGTGGTTGCCCAGAAAATGAAAATGGAGTGAAATAGACCTAGCTTATTAGGATGGGATTCTGCAGGGAACAGGGGGCAGAACTCAGGGCACCCATCGCGTCACCCACATGTTTCTCCAAGGTCTCCGGGGTGAAGCTGGTGCTCCAGAGCTCCAGGGCATCAGTCACACTGGGGGAAGAAAGAAGGGTCAGGGTGCATCCAGATGAGGGAACCTACGTTCTCTGTATCCCGACCAAATCCCAGTTCTGGCCTGCGCTCCCTCCCCCCGGGGCGTGCACCAGGGGCCACTGGCGGGAGGGGCCGGGAGCACAAAGCTCCACGATCGCGCCGGCGCGAATTGCGGGAGGCGGGCGCTAGGAGGACTTAAGAGCGTCTGCACGCCTTCCCTACTTCCAGCCGGCCTAGCGCCCGCCCCGCATCCACTCACTAGATGTTGACGGCGCAGGTCTGTCCAGGCTCAGGGTCCAGCCCCGGCCCCTCGGGGCCCTCGCAGTAGCACACGTAGCAGGGCGGTCCCTGCTCAGAGCCAGCAGGCACGATGCACAGGGAGCCCGGCGCGACAGGCCTCTGCATTGCAGGAGCTGGGAGCCGGGGCAGCGGGGTCTCTGGAGGAGCAGCCCGCGGAGCCAGTCCCAGCCCCGGAACGGGCGGAGCTCCGGGGCACCCTCACCCGGAGGACGCCTGTGTGCCCTTGTCCTGTCCCGATAGAAATCAGACTGCTGAGTGGAGGAATAAAGCGCCCTTAATCAGATAACAGGATAGCAAGCCTGCCAGCGTGGGGGATGTCCCACCAGGAGACCCACAGGAAAAGAGTCTTAGACTTTTAGGAGATATGGGGGAGGGAGTCACAGTAGATAGTGCGGCCTGGTCATGGGATGCCAGCTGCCCTCGGCAATCCGAGCAAGGAAAACCACTTCATTCTGGCTGTTTTGCCCTTCGTGCCGTGAATTCCAAGAAACAGGGCAAAGACCTTACACGCTGAGATCCATCTCAAGCCAGGTTCCTTAAATCCGGAGGACTTAGAGTATAGTTCAGCTCAACCTAATCGAGAGTAAATATCTTAAGAGTAGGAATGCAAGGACATTACTGAAATTCTAACATTGCTAGGATGATTTAAGAAGAATGGTAGGTAATATTACATATTACGCTAGCAATTTTTCTGTTACCTTATACCCTGCAGTAAATATTATTTGTAATTTGTAATTTATTTTTTAAAAAAGTTATTGACATTTTCTTTTGGCATCACCTATATTTTCTGGTGTAGTCTTTCTCCCTCCTTCCTCACAAAACCTTATAACAAAAAAATAAAAGAGGGAAAAAAATTTAAGTGAAAGTCTGACAGTATATACCTGGTTACCCATAGTCCTCTCCCTCTTACAGCCTATCATTTATTTCTTTTGTTGTAACTTTCTTTTCAGTTCTAAATCTCTCCCTCCCACCTTTCCCTCCCCACTCATTGAGAAAGCAAGAAAAACAAAACTGTTAGAAATAAGTGTGGTCAAGAAAAACAAATTCCTGTATTAGCCACAACATATGTTTTTTAAAACCTAGGATAAAACTGGTTTCATGATTTGAAAAATAGAACAAAACCCTGATTTCAAGCATGAGAACTTTTAAGACCTACCTTCTTTTCTTCCAAACCATTTTCCTAAAGTTGTGAAGTAAGCAGAGTTGTCTTTGTCTCCTACCTTCTTTCTTTCCTTGGCCACAGTCTTCTCTCCTTCTCGGGATTCTGTATCTCATTCTTTTTTTTTTTGCAGGGGGGGGGGTTAAGGCATTTGGGATTAAGTGACTCGCCCAGGGTCACACAACTAGTTAAGTGTCAAGTGTCTGAGGTCACATTTGAATTCAGGTCCTCCTGACTCCAAGGCCAGAGCTCTATGCACTTCACCACCTTGCTGCCCCTCTGTATCCCATTTTTACAGAGCCTTATACTCAATTTGGGCAAGTGTTTGTGACCTCAAAGTGCTATGCACTGGACCAGGTGCTGAAGGAAGCATCCTCTGCCTTTGTTGTTGTTCAGTCATGTCCAACTTTTTGTGACTCCATTTGGGGTTTTCTTGGCAAAAATAGTTTGCCATTTCCTTCTCCAGCTCATTTTACAGATGAGAAAACTCAGGCAAACAGGGTTACATGACTTGCCCAGGGGTTACACAGCTAGTAAGTATCTGAGGTAACATTTGAACTCAGGTCTACCTGACTCCAGACACTACTGTACCACCTAGCTGCTGAGAAGGGACTTTAGCTACCATCTATTCTAACTCCCTCATTTTGCAGATGAAGAAACAGATGCAAACGTTAAGTGACTTGCCCCAAGGGCACAAGGAAGTTTCAGGTCTGGGCTTTGAACCCAGGTCCTCTGACTCCAAATTCAGCACTGTCTCCACTACACTGTGCTGCACCCCCTTTTCATGTCTCTCCACGTGGGAGTTTCCTGTTTTCAGACAGTGCCCTCCCACATGGTAGAACTGGGTACGCTTCTTCTTTGTCCCCTCATAGCACCAAGGATGAGCCTGTGTATGGGGGAGAATACGGAGCAGTCCAGTTTTACTCAGAGACTGACCGTTTTGCTCGCTTCCAGATTTCCAATTCCCTGCACTCCACTCAGTCAATCCACAAACATTTATTATGCCCATACTATGTTCCAGGCACTGTGGTAAGCAGGGGATGGGCAAGGGAAAGAATAACCCAGTGTTTCTAACCTTCTCATTTCCTAACTTTCACTAGGCTAAACTATTATATTCAGATTTCTGGGGGGTTTTTTTGTTAGTTTATTTTTGCTAGGCAATGGAGTTAAGTGACTTGCCCAGGGTCACACAGCTAGTAAGTGTTAAGTGTCTGAGGCTGGATTTAAACTCAGGTCCCCTTGATTCCAAGGCTGGTGCTGTATCCACTGTGCCACCTAGCTGCCCTTTAAACTTCTTACTGGGGAGTGAGGGACAGTTCTGGGTTGGGACTCCAAGTGTGTAAACTCAGTGAAGATACTAGGACCAAAGGCAACTTCTCTTTCTTTGTAGTACAATCTACCTCCACTTATAGCTTGCTAGGCCTACCAAGACCTAATTTTCCTCAGGCTGAAATTTCAACCCTAGTCACAGAGAGGTAAGTAGCACCATCTCAGGTCACTGCAGCAGCAGGAAGGAGGCTGTTAGACTGAAATACAGCCTCAGAGGAAACTGAGATGATCTTGTGAAATGATGCCGAGAGAAGAGATCAGAATGAGGAGAATAATTTATACAAGGACAACATTGTAAGGAAAAACAGCTCTGCAAGAGTTTAGAACTCTGATCAGTACAATGCAGTAAGCCCAGATGTACTCTAGACTGCTCCTTAGTGCAGTAGATGTCATGGATCGTGTCCTGCCTGCCCAGTCACAAAGCTCCAGGAACAAGGAGAATGAATGCCTTAGTTCTATGGCCTGCCAAGGACCAAGAGGATATACTATGCTCATTTGGGAGTGGGTTGAATGGCTCTTCAAGGGAGGGGAAGGTTTTGTGGGTACCCAGAAACCCAAGGGGACACCTGGTACCCTGGCACCAGTGGGATTGGTTCCCCTCTTGAGCTCCTTGAAAGACAAATGTGTCTTTGATTCTCTAGGGAATATCCCTCCAAGGTCAAGACACAAGGAAACTCTACAGAGCTCCATATCTGTTGTGGGATAAAATCTTGGGGGAATCTCGTTATGGGAGTCAAGGGAAATGTCTTTTCATCTTCGTCCAGAGCAGAGAGGTTTATGTCCTCTGTTTATACCATCCTTCCAATTGAACATCACTGATGTATGCCATCCCTCCAGGATGACTTCTTGAATGATGTCAGCACTGTATTCCCATTCTTCTTCTGCATCTCATCCTTTTCTGGGGGCACAAAGGCTGAAGACATAGGATCATGTTTATATAATAAACAATGATTGGGGGGATGAGACTGGATGGCCAGGGACTGTAGCACCAGCTCTCATCTCCACTTACAACCTATTAGGCCTACCAGGGCCTGGAGAAGAGAAAACTTAACAAAGAACATGCTGGCAGTCTTCAATTGTTTTAAGAGTGTTGGGAGGAAGAGAGGTTGGTTAGACTCACTTTGCTTGGCTCCTCGGGGCAGAACTGGGCAGTGATTGCAAATAGCCCTAATTTGTCCATTTGATTAAAAAGAGGTGGGGGGAGGGGCAGCTAGGTGACTCAGGAGGACCGAGTTCAAATCCGGCCTCAGACACATAACGCTCACTAGCTGTGTGACTCTGGGCAAGTCACTTAACCCCAACTGCCTTACCAAAAAAAAAAAAAGTCAATAGAAAAGGAGCAGGGGGAGGAAAGGGAAAGACCTATATTGTACAAAGATGTTTATAGCAATTTTTATGCGGTAGCAAATAACTGAAAGCTAAGGGGTGCTGTTAACTGGAGAATGGCTGAATACATTATGGTATCTGAATATAATGGAATATTATTGTGCCATAAGAAATGATGAAAGAGAGTTTCAGAGAAACCTGGAAGTTTGCTGTGCACTAATACAGAGGGAAGTGAGTACAACCAAGAAAACAATACAATAGCAACAACATTGTAATCATGAAGGATCTTGGAAAAACTTAAGAAAACTCTGATGAACACAGTCATCATCCAAAGGACCTATAATGTAGAGTGTTCCTTATCAGCAGACAGAGAAGTGATGAGACTTGTATATTTGGTTATAGCTAATGAGAGAATTTGAACAGGGAGGTGGTGCAGTGCATTGAGCATTGGGCTTAGAATCAGGAAGATTCATCTTCCTGAGCTCCAATCTGGCCTCAGCACTTTACTAGCTATGTGACCTGGGCAAGTCACTTAACGTTGTTTGCCTCAGTTTCTTCATCTGAAAAGTGAGCAGGAGAAGGAAATGGCAAACCACTCCAGTATCTTTGCTGAAAAACCCCAAATGGAGTCACAAAGAGTCTCATGTGGCTGAAAGGACTCAACAACGAATGTGAGAGTTTTGTTAAACTATGCATATTTGTTGCAAGTGTTGGGTTTTTTCTTTCTTTTCTTTCCGGTAGGGATGGAAAGTGACAAGGAGAGAAAATAAATGCTTGTTAATTAAAAGAAAATTATCAAAAAAATAATTAGAGCTGCCCCAAAGTGGAAAGGGCTGTCTAAGAGGTGGTGGGTTCCCTTTTGCTGGAGGTCTTTAAGCAGAGGCTTTAAACAGAGGCTGGATGACCAGTTGTTAGATCACAGGGGTGGGGAACCTGTGGTCTCGAGGCCACATGGGGCTCTCTAGGTGCTCAACTGTGGCCCTTTGACTGAACCCAAACTTAACAGAACAAATCCCCTTAATAAAAGGATTTGTTCTGTAAAACTTGGACTCAATCAAAATACTGCACCCAAGGACATAGAAGGCCTCATGTGGCCTGGAGGCTGCAGGTTCCCCACCCGTGTTAGGAGGTTGTAGAAAGGATTCTTGAAGCAAAAATAGATCCAATGAGATGTTCTCTGAGGTGCCTTTCACCCCTAAGATTGTATGGGAGGAAGAAGTACACAAATATCTAGAATACAAATTAGGTAATATATGCAAGGGATGGGGAAGCTAGGAGGTGAAGTTGTTAAAATGCTGGGCCTGGAGTCAGGAAGACTTGTTTTCCTGAGTTCTAATCTGTCCTCAGACACTCACTAGCTGTATAACCTAGGGCAAGTCCCTTAAT